GGCCTCATATTTTTCAAATTATTCTCTGAGGTTTTGAATGACATGGTGAGGGATAAGCCAGACCCCAGGATGGATGAGGCAGAAAAGGGGTCTTCTCCTTTACCCATTGCTTTGTAATAATGAAGTAAGAGGCAGTCCATTGACAGAGCCACCAAGCTCTGCTGATAGCTCTGTCCTGCAGCCTAACCAGAATGGAGTCAGCCAGCTGGGAAGGACATGGGAGACACCTCTGCCCATTTCAATCCATTCTCTTGTGTCTGAGTGCATTTCCCACCTAGGGCAGGAGGGAACACTGGGGAAGGTGACTGCACATCAAAACCAAACTCCTTTTGCTTCATTCTGATTTCTTCCATGAAATCTGGTTTTACCCTTTATTTTCCTTTTTTCATGGGAAAAAAAATGCCCTGTGGCCACCCCACTGCCTTCCTCTGAAAGCAGCAAGACTTCTGAGGAGTGAGACTTGATAAGACGGTAACAAGAGAGTGCTTTGCTATGGCCTTGCCTGGTCTGGGCCCTCCAGATGGCAGAGGGACCCTTTGTCACAGTCAGGGCTCCAGTTTGAATTACAGTTTTTTCTCGTAGGGCCATTCCTCAAGAAGACGCTGTTCCTCAGTGAAACCAAATGTTGAAACTTTTTTGAGGTCTTCCAAAGCCTTTTAAATGTTTTCTTTTAATTTTCTTGGAAGAAAACACCATGGCACCAGAATGGGAGTTTTGGAGTGTTTCTTTCTGGTGAAAAAAATGGTTTTGTTGTTGGATAAAAGCTTTTCGGACCAGCTGGTTCCCACCAGAGTCAAACTTTACAAGAAGTAGGATGATATCAGTGCCCCAGGACAGATCTACCCCTGAAGTAGACAAGACATCCATTTGCTGTGGTCATGCTTTGAAATATCATTGTGTTGAAGACCACAGTGAAATATTTTACTGTTTGGCAGGTTCTGCTTGGAAATAAACACGTGGGCTTGTGATTCAAATGCTACAACAGTATATTTGCACAGTCAGGAACTCAACTGCTCAGAGCTTGGTCTCTGTTAGGTGATAGATGGCCAAGTTCAGGCTGACAGGATATGTCCAGGGCTGTGTGTCAGAGGCAGCGCTAAATATTTGTTATCTGAGAGTTTCTTTTGGTGTGTGGAAATTGGGAGTGCTGCTCATTTCAGCTCTCACTGTCCACACAAGCACACCACCAGCTCAGGTGCTTTTGGAGGCTATTTCCCTGGTAGTCCTGAGACCTCCTATCCCCACTGCAGTGACAAAATATTAGTGATCAAGCACCTTCCCAACACTGCTAAATTTGCCCATCTGCACATACACAACTGGGTTCATATATAAGGTCGGCAGCAGCAGCCAGGGATTCTCCATCTCCTGAAGAACCAGTAATCAAACTTGTGAGTCCAGGGTCCAGTCAGGCATTTCTCCCTGTTGCAAGTCGGAGGTGGGCATGTGTGTAATGTAAGGCAGAAATTTCAGTAGTGCTAGTTTCCCATCACCCAAGGATCAGGATGTTCCACAGCTGCTTCTCACAGGCACTGCTGTATAAATGTCTGTGCTTGGCTGGTTACGATGGGAATTGCCATTCATCACGGCATGAGGGGGCTTAAGCTGTCTCAGAGCAAGTTGTCAGTTAACCAACGCTTAATATAGAGCAATCTGATCAGTATGAGACATGTCCTCGCAGCTAAAAAGCCTTAAACATTTCAAATGCAGCAGCTTCTGAAGTCTTCCAAGATACCTTCTGCAGTACTCATTGTTATTTTCCTGCTGCTGAGAGGGAGCAGTCAAGATAGGCACTTTGTGTTCATTACCCAGCATAATATTCACTGGTCTATTTAATCAATGCTTAGAAAATGTATTTGATGAATTATAAGTTACTGGGGGTGGGGAGGAATGGGGAATGCAGAAATAGATTAACATTGGCTGATCTTTTAGACTGTTTCAAAATATATTTCTCTGGTTTTTACACTCACAAAGTCTTGTGGGGTGTTCCCCCTTCTTTCAGGCACCTAATTTCTCATACCAACAGTTGCTGGCTATCAAGGAACCTCTTGCAGGAGTTGCTTGAGGCAAAGCTGTTTGTTGACTGTATTGCAAGAGATGTATTTAGCAGAGCAGAGGTGTCAGACACATTGTACTGCCTGTTTCTCTGTCCAGCCCATCCATTATTTCCTGGATATATCAGCTTCACACCACACAGAGGAATGTGGCTCTCAGGGGAGTCCTCAACAGAAATCTGAGAGTTGCCCCTTAGAACCGATGATCTTGAAACATGCCATAAGAAAAGGCTTATAAGCTTAACAGGCAAAACAGACAGAGGAGGGCAGAGGAGGGAGGAGTAATTTCTAAACACAGTACTAAACCCCAAGCAGCTAAATGATTTTCTGAAGGTCATGAAGGAAACCTGTGTCCAAGTCAGGAATTTAACCCAGATTTTTTGCTTGGTTCATTGCCTTAGCAGCTGGATGCTTCTTCCTGCCTCCTTAGTCACTGACATTGGTCATTGTAAAGTGCAGTTTTCTTCACCGTATTTGGAAAAGGTGGTAACAGAAGGAGATCTGACAGAGATTCACGATCAGTGCAAAAAACGTGTCTTTCCCTCTCCTTTCTGTTGTTGCAGCACTGGCTGTGAATTCAGGGGAGTCTGCTGCAGTTTGGGTTTTCTGAGCTTGCCACACAGAAAAATCCCATAAGAGTTCTCTCTGCAAATCTGTTTTCTTTTAAGTAGCACCAGTTTCCTGATGCACATGTTTTGCATTTGTCTGGGTGTGTGTGAGATCCAGTAGCTCCCCAGCATAGTCTCCGTTCTGGAGATCACTTGAGAATTGGATTTTCTTTGTGAAGATGAAGTATGTGCTCTGTGCTCTGAGAGACTCAATTTTGTACAGAAAATTATCTGTGTATGTGTCTATGTGGAAAGCCTTGGGAAAGATCTTTGCAGTCTTAAGAAATGCAATATTGCCCTCTAGTGATGATGAGGATGGTCTCATTTGATCCGATGAAACAAAAAGCATTTTGGCTAACCTTCAACAGGATTAAAAAATGGAATAAATGTTCCTGTTTTCTTCTGACCCTGGAATTAAAGATCCTACCGTCACAACTTGGAGAGCACTGGTGGTGGTGATAAGCAGAGGAGGTTCTTCAAGAATCATAGAATGTGTAAAATTATCATTTTTCTCCATGAATTCAGCAGATGGAAAGCCAGCTGCACTCAGAGAGCAGATCTAGTAAGAAGGTTCTTTTTTTTTTTTTAATGCAGCATTTTTACTTTTTTTTTGCATTTCTAAAGCCAAGTATATTTTTATTTGCCAAAGAAACTCAAGGCAGTTTCAAGGACAGGAGGTGAAACCCAGTGGAAACCAGAAAAAAAATTTAAGAAAGTTTCATTTTTGTGCTTCATGATCCCTACATTCAAAGGGGGGGGGGGGGTATTTGGGTTTTATTTTTATTTCTCATTTGAACACTTCTGGAGGGGGAGAAGAAGGGATAATCACAGGAGCACTTTAGCAGATGAACAGGAAGAGCTCAAAATGTTTCTCTCGCTCTACTAAGCAAGTAGTTGGTTGTATCTGTCAGGAAATAAACTGTTTTGAAGAGTCTTCAGAAAACACTTAGAAGCACTACAAAGCTTTGACCTTTCCCCCTAAGAAGGTTGCATTTAAGGCCCTCGATTCTGCAAATAGCTCAACATGGACAATCCCTCCAGTGCTTGTATAAAGCCCCAGGAGCATCAGCAGGTCTCTCAGCTCTACTCCCAGACAGTAGGGTCAGGGAGTAAGGTTTCTCTGTAACTGGACCTGCATCTCAACCCAGATTTCTAAGGTATCTCATTTTTTTAAGTTCCTGATGCAGACAGCATTTCCCTGGCACCTTCCCTATTCTAATTGCCTCTGACAATGCACGACAGTACTGGAATTTATGTAAGGAACATTGCTGCCGCTGTACTGCAACTTAAAGATCACTATAAAACAAACTGGGCAGCGAGATGTGGGTTTTTTCCTTACTCAAAACACAAAGTAAATGCAAAATTCACCTTAATCATTCACTGAACCTATCCAGGCTTTCTCTGTTACTACAGGACCACACAACATATATGTAACAACCAGTCATTAACTTTGACAGCATCCTGAGCTTTTTTTCCCCAAAAGGTCACAAGGCAGAATTAAGGGCTGTAGTTGGTTCAAGCCAGTGGCAAAACTCTCATGGAGTTCACTGCCAAAGGATCAAACTTTCAAAGCAGGCAGGACATAGAGGACTGAATTAATTCATACACATCATGGGCTTTCAACATAATTGCAAATATTGGGGTACGCAGTGGGTTTTTCAGATACTTGAGGGTTTGGGCTGGTCAGCTTTCTACTGAGTTCTGAGAACTCATCTCAGCTTAAAAAAAAAATTAGATTATTGGCATTCCCAGTCATCCCCAGCATCACTACTCACGGTACTGGTAAATTGTGTAAGGTCCTTAACTATTGCTGGTTGCTTACTCTGCGACCATAGCCGCTACATGCTAGCTGCTAAAATATGTAAAGAAGCCTTTGTAAAATTTGCCTTATGCAGAGCTGAAGTGGACAGGGAAGGAACCTAGAAGTGGGTTTCTGTCAGTGAACATTTTACAAGACACAGGTCAACAGCACAGAAATGAGCAGGTTAGGTAAAGGAGTGAAGAAGAAATACTGAACTGTGATGGAGAATGAAGGGGAGTTTACAAGCAAAAGAAATAAAAGATTATTTGAAGTTTAAAAACAAAACAAAAAGATTATTTAGCAACAAAACCATCCACTTGATGATCCAGTTCCTTTGGTATGGCTGGGGTGTTGGTGACTGGTCACATCTTGGAGCACGCACAAGACTCTTTCCTCACCCCAGTCTGGCATAAGCAAAGAAACTTCAATTTTTGTATAGTCATCATGACTCCATTGACCACACTTTTCAAGTAATGAGAGCATTTTCATGTTTTGACCTAGTTCCCCCTTGTGTCTCACCTCTCTTGCTTTCCCTTTCAGGTTCTACATTGAAAGCATCTCCTATCTAAAGGACAATGCCACCATTGAGCTGTTTTTCTTGAATGCCAAGTCCTGCATCTACAAGGTAAGGACTCAGGGAGCTCTGGGTGGCACCGGGGTGGGCTGAGACACTGGGTCTGCATCCCCTGACCCAAAATTTACATTGGTCACACAGGGACTTTGAGATATAACCTTCTCCTTCCCACCCTCCCTCACTCCTCTGGCTCTACCCTGGCCAGCTTCCCTGTCAGAGACAGGTTCTGAGGTAAAACACCCCTGGAAGTAACTCTTGTGGTCAGCAGGAAGGAATCTGCAGCTGCTAAAATTATAAACTGGCTTGTATTTAGAAGGAAATGTCTGGTTTTGTGTTAAAAAACCGCCGCTGTTGAGCCCCGCTCTGGGCTGAGTGGATGTCGTTAGGGGTTCCCGCCCGAAGAGGGCGGCGGTGGCCGCGCGGGCTGCGGCGCGGGCGCCATCTTCTGGGCTGGGCGGCGGCAGCGGGGGGGGGGAGTCTGTGAGATTGTACGTGTGTGAGAGAGTGTGCGAGGGAGGTGTGAGAGAGTGTGCAAGGGAGGTGTGAGAGTGTGCGAGGGAGGTGTGAGACTGCGTGAGGTTGTGTGAGTGCGAGAGTGGGGGCAGGCGGGGGGGGCTGAGTGTGTGAGGGGTGTGTGACTGCATGCATGTGGGGCTGTAACTGTGAGAGTTTGCGCGTGAGTGTGAAAGTGCGTGTTAAGGATGCACAAACGCCTTCGTGTTTGTGACAGTGTGACTGAGAGTCTGTGGGACAAGAGGAGTGAATATGTGGGGGTATGTGCGTGAGTGAGCGTAAGGGTGTCTGTGGGTATGTACTGAAGATCACCTTGTACAGGAACAAGCCATGCACGGGGAAGTGTTTTTTGTACCAGAAATAGCCCTGCCTGGTAGACTATTGAAAACAGCCGCGGTCTAACTCAGAGCTGCCCCTTGCAAGGCACTCTGTGTGCCATTGATAAGGGCATCCTGGCATGGCCTCCACTCCCTGCTGGAGTGCCTGTGGCAGAGCTGCGAAGTTGATCCCTCCAATGCCACAAACCAACTGTACAAGTGAAAGGGCAGGGTCCAGAAAATTAAGCAGGCCCAGAACCCGCTGAGGTGGAGGCTGGCTGCGTGTGGACTCAGCCAGGTAGGCTGGATGGGCAGCTCGATGTGTGGGGCTGGGAGAGGTTTTTCAGCAGCTGGGATTCCCTGGGAGGATCCCTCCTACCTCCCTCTGTGCTGGCAGAGGCCATTCCCGGTGACTCACCTCCATCTGCCAGGGAGGAAGTGGTAGGAAAAGGCGGCTGTAGTCAGGGAGTGATTGTACTGCCATCCCACAACCTTCAGCAGGCTTGTGACCTGCTAAGCCAACTAGTTTACATGGAATCTGAAGCCTCACTTCCTGACATCTGCACGGCCTAAAATGCAGGGACTAACTTTGCATCTCCTAAAATGCAAGGTAGAAGCCAGAAAATGCCTTTTTTCCAGTGCCCAGGAAAGAGGCAGGGCTGCCGAGGTGAGTTGTGCAGAGCTTTGCTCTCTGGCAAGGCTGCAATTAGATGTGCTTAGTCAGCCCTCTCCAGCAACAAGCTCAGTGAGCATCACATTTTGGTTCCTGGGGAAAGTTCCTTTTTGAAGTATTGCCAGGAAAAGCTTACACTGTTGTTCTTTTTTTGGAGAAAGCTTAATAAGAAGAAGAGTGGGGGAAAAAAGAAGAAATGTGCCTGCAGATCTAGGTTGATCTATTTTAGTCTGACCTCTCCTGAAACCATTACTTTGCACATTCAAGCTGACTGTCATCTCTATCCAAAAATAGCCCTGCTGGTTTCCCAGTCTCCCATGCGGGTCCTTCCCCATCTGACTTCCAGCCACAGTAAGCTGTGCTGTGCTATTAAAAAAGGCGCTGAATTTGAAAGTTGGGTGCAAAGTCTCTGCTAAAACGCAGGGCGAGCACCCAGCCAGCATGCCTGGAGGATTCCTCTAGGTGTAGAAAGGGGGATTCAGTGTCTAAGCACAGCCAGTGCTTGTCATCCCTGCAGCTAGCGGGTGATGTTGCATGCTCCCAAACCTTGAAAGCTTCCTTGCTGCACCAAAAGTTTCCTCGCTGGACTCTCCATGGATAACTTCACCCCAGGCTCCCCTGCAGCCCAGAAAGACCATACTGGTTATGGTACAAGTGTAGTTCATAACACTATGCTAGCAACTCAGACCTTCCCCCATTGATTCTCCAGACACACACCCTCAAATGTCCCTATGCACAGGGCTGCTCAAGTTGGGAAAGAATAAAACTGAGGCCTGTTTAGTTTGGGGCTGCTGGTCCACTGGGTTGCCAGCTGGCTCTGCATTGGGTGCTGTACTCCTCTGGCTGTGCCCACCGCTCCTCCTCACCCACCCACACACCCAAACCCTTGCACAGGACCAGCAAGCCACTGTTGCCCAGAAAGGCCAAGCCACATTTGTACTACCAAACAAGACAGGGCTTGTCATCAGGCACTGTCCCTCCATCAGTCAGACTGTTTAATTACTAGCACGTTCTGGCATGGGTTTTGGCCTGTGCCAACTAGCCCTGTCCCAGGCATTTGCTTGGGCACTGTTCAGGGATGAGCACCTGTTCCCAAGAGGCAATACAGCTGAGGTAACCCCATCTGGGACCGGGGGAGGGAGGAAGAGTGTTTAGTCATGAGCTATACTGTGCCATGTACCCTTAGGGCCAGAGAACGGGCTCTGGCCCACTTCACCTACTAGTATAGACTTGCCCTAATATCGACATGTGGTTGCAGAGGCTGGTTTGTCCGTGCGATGGCTGGTACTTCAAGATGGGAGAAAGACCAGGCGCTCTGGTTCTAATCCACATCGCCCCTTGCTATAGGATATGCCTGACTGCCCCAGCCTGGCCCTGCCTGCAGCTGAATTGACATCTTGCACCAGCCACTTCCCTTGGCACACACACATCGTTGGTGCAGGTGCCTGCGTGAATCAGGCAGTTTAGCTGAACAGGGGAAGGTGTGTTTATTGCCCATAGCAGAGCTGGTCTTCACTCCCCAAGGAGTTGTTGTGAAGGATGTGCTTATTTTAAAAAGCTGGCACTGGTGAAAGCCAAGGACACCTGGATCTTATCCTCTGTTGTGTTCCCTTTGTTTTTGATTTTGCCAGAGACAAGCCAACGCAGCAACTGTGGCTTGTAAATGAGGTGTGGCCATGACTTGGCTGGAGCATGGATCACAGCAGTGATCTATATTTAGATCACTCGTTTCTTGCCAGATGAATTAAAATATTAAAACCAGCAGCTTAAATAAGTACAACAGAAAAGCCACCACAGGACTGAGCTGAACAGTGACCCAGTTTACATGGCCACATACGTAGGAGACAATGTAGGAGTTCTAGCTGCAGAATAGAGGCTTAAACAGTATCATGGTAAAAGCCCACTGTCTTCCCAAAAGCAGGGACCAGAGACTCAGGGAGAGCACACTTGGCCACAAGAATAATACTCGTGTCTCCCATCCCAAGCACCTTTGATGCCAGTTCTGCATCCCACACATTCAGACAGAGCCAAGAGCCTGGACCCCTTGGTTCTGTGACTACTATCTCAGGCACAGCAGAAGGACCCCAAGACGATCTGATGGCACCATCAGTGTCCTTCATGTGACCATGGTGTCCAAGCAAAACGCTCACAATTTCACCTGACCCTCCAAGACTGCTTTTATCGGGAGCTAGATGCTATAGAATGGAGCAGTGAAGATCTACTAAAAGATTTGCTGTCATAGCTCAGTCTCAAAGCACCCCCAGCCCCAGTGCTCATGGGGATGAAGGAGCTGAAACCAGAGCTCCCTTCCTGCAAGAGGGAATATGGCTCTTTTTACTGTGAGTTTACCCTGGGCAAGTGCCAGAGGAGTTCTGCGGGGGCTTTGACACAATGTCAGTGAAGACAAATTTTCTCATTTACTTGCTTCTGTGAGCCAAGGACAAGGCTGTGTTCCCCTGAAGCACAGGTGACATTTGGGGGAGAAAAAATTTATTTGCCAGACTACCTTTCACTACATCACACAAGAAAATAAAAATTACCTTGATCCTCCCCCTTCCACCTGCCTTCTCCTCTCTCCTCCCCAGGAATCCCTTCATGCCACATCCAGTTATGCTTATTTACCAAGCCATTACGCTGAATATTTTGGCTTTCTGCACATCTGAGTGGGCAGGTTCTCCCTCACGTTGGTCTCTAGAGCACAGGGAATGCTTTGAAGCCTATCTGGGGGAGAAAACTGGCACTGCATGCTTCACCATGCAGTAGCCAGGAGGAGATGCACGTCCTCACAGAAGCTCAGACTCAACGCTCTTTTTCTTTTTTTCTTCACCTTTCAAGGAACTCATTGAGGTTGACAGTGAAGTGGTGTTTGAACTGGCTGCATACATCTTGCAGGTAAGCACCCGCCTTCTCTCACTTCATGCTTCCTCCTGTTGCATTAAGTCTTTTGATTTGCCAAATCCAAAATGGCTGTATGGAAGTGTAAGGGTTCCCCCAACTGCAGGAGAAAGATGTCTTTACACAGTTTTCATCATTTATATCACTGCAAAATAGGTACAGAAGGCTCTCAAACCAGACCTCTCTACGCATGGAGCAGATTCCACTGCCCAACATTTTGCATGCATAAATGTATACTATGTTTGCACTGACACAGGTATCCAAGACCCTGGGGTATAATGTAAAGCCAGAGAAAATCTATGTGATGAATGCGATTTCCTAGGTGAAATCCATATGCAATGGGTTCTTCTCCAGTGACTTTACTTGCATTTGTTTTCCCCGTGGAGCTTGGCCCTCTGATGATCTCCAGAAGCTTCTACATATGCAACTGTCTGTATTCTCCAGCGTGGGCAGAATGGCTTAAAGACTTTCCAAAAAACTGCTCCAGAAAAAAATTCTTTGAAAGTCCTGCTCTTCAGGAAGAGGGAAAGGGTCAGAAAGCAAATTGCCAGCAGCGTTTGGTTAATCTCTTCCCCAAAAAGGAATCTTTTTAGGGTAGTGGAGGTGTTTTTTGTGAAACATCTCTTTTAGGAGCATGACTGTGGGAGCAAATCAGAGATAATTGTCAGGTGATCCTTTCATACAGTGTAGTCTTAATTTTTTCTCCCATCAGCCATGAAGCTATGAGAAGCCATGTGAGCAGTCAAGCCATCTCATCAGACTGCACTAATAAATAACAATGCATTGCACTTCTATAGCACTTTCCATGTTAAAGAAGCAATTAATGCGTAGGGATTTGAATCTTCATTAAAATCATTTTATGTAACAAAAATGGAGTGAAAGAGTCAGGATGGGGGACTCAATTAAAAGCACATTATAGAAATTGCATATTGGCTGTTGGGGGAATACACATCAAACAACAGGCTCATTGTGAGAAGCAGCAATAGGGTTATGAATCTATTGTCTGTTCATCCTGATGAATAACTTGAGCGCTTAGTAATTGTACAACCAGATCCAGATCTGCCACTGTAACCCTTGTTGCTGTGATTGTTTCTCATCACAAACACAGGATGTTACGTGTATTCCTGTAGTAGTTTGATGTGTAACTTAATGAAAACAGTCAAAACAAGCCACACCCCTGCTGTCTGTAACCAGAAATTACTACAAACCATGTTTGTGACAGGATCCAAGCAAAACAAGAGGGACCATACTGCATTTTGTTCTATTTCTCACTGCAGCATTTAGGTCAAAGAACTGAAGTGTGGAGAATCTACGCTACAAAATTATTTTTTCAATTCAGTATGCTCATCCCTGTGCAGGCCAGGGCATACCCTTTGGGTTTTGCTGTGTGTTGAACTATAATCATGATATGCTCAAGGACTCCTTCTGAACCAGAGGAGAGCTTGTCTGCCCTTCAGTTCACTCAGAGGGAAATGGGAAATACAGTATAGGACTGTCAGAACTCAAGTAATTTAGTCTGCAGCCTTATTTCAAATTGTTGTGTTACCAAAACAAATTAAAGTACCACCAAAGCTCCGAAGTTTACCCCAGCCTCAGGACTGAAACATACTGGACATGGGCTGACGGGTTTTGCGCATGGATGGACAGATGTAAAGACAAGAGACGTGAATGCAAAACCCAGTCCTCTAGGCAGTGGAAACTCCCTCACTGCACAAATTACATTCTTGCACTGTGCCTTCTGTGTAGCTGATGGCAAATGAGGTGCTTTAGCATGCATCATATGAAATGCATATTGCCTATGGAAAATGCAAAATGCATACTACATCTATTGAGGAGGGGACTCACCAGATTTTGAGGGTTCACCAGATATACGGTTAAGATTCAGGTACTAATCTAATTACTGGAGTGGAACATTACCAAGCCCTTTAATACCAGGCTGTGATGGTAATAAATAGAAATATCTAGACGTATAAGTAAGGGAGCTAAATACTCTCGCAGACACCCAGCAAGGAGTTAGAGAAAGCTGTGTCTTGCATCCCCTTGAAAGCTGACAGTGAGCTAGCTTTTTGAAAGTCCGGTTACTAGAAAATAACCAGAATACTTGTAAAAAGACTCAGGGGAGTTGCAGTCTCAGAGGCTGCAAAGTCACTGAGACTTCAGAGATCTTCTAGTAATGTAGCATCCACACTGACCCAAAAAATTACTCATTTACTAGCATTATTTCCTGCAGCTTCTTGGGTATCCACTAGCAGAATGAGGAATCATCTGGCTCTGTATTAGGCAAACCTTTTGTTTGTTAATCTGCCCAGCTCACTGCATGTATCATGGCACTTGACATTAGATACTGGTTCCAAAAAATACATAAGGAATCAATTACAACAGGAAATTGCTGCTAAATGAATTTTGCAAATGGAAAATCTTGAACAGCCGTTTTCTTAATTTTTTTTTTTCTATTTTTAATGATCTATTTTTAATTTTTCTTCCTCGTTTTACAGGAGGCAAAAGGAGATTTTTCAAGGTAGGTGAACTTAAAAGTTTTTGCCATTGTGTGCTGTGAGAATGAATCTGGTAAAATCACTGTGTGAGTGATGTGACTCAGTTGTAGCTGTGTAGCAATAGGAATGCATTCCTAACATAGATATCGTGTTTCCTGAAATCATTTCTTCACAAAACGCAGCCTTTGACCAGAGCATGCCTTGCAAACAGCATTGTTTGTGACTTTGTTGTTGACAAATCTCTTTATATGCCCATGAAGTTCAGGAAATAGACTAGTCTTCGGAAGGAAATTACTAAGGAAACGACTCAGCGGTCACTGCTATATCACAGATCCAGCCAGAGGCAACATTAAAATTCCATCACTAATTGATATTTCAGCTTGAATTTGGACAGAGTTCTCAAAATCACAATTTAGATAATTGCTTTTGTTGAACTTCTGCTATGCCTTGAGCCAAATCTTCAGACTTGCTGTAAGAAATTCAGAGAGGTGACTGTGCTTGGTGTTTCAGAAGACTGTTAATGAAATGCCTAAGAATTTTCATTTAAGTTGACAATATCTGTCAGTTACACTTTAGTAGCAACCAACGGTCAGACAGCCGGCTGATGCCTCAACCGAGAAACATGAAAGTTCTTCTTCTGAAGCTCAGGACAACTGTCTATGCTAAAAATTTCACATACTCCATATATTACTTTTGCTGACCTGAACTTGAGTTCAGCTGGAGGACCACAATATCCATTGAAGTTAGTTTCAGAGAAGAAAACAAGGTGTGAATGGGCAGTGAGGTTGAATTGCCAGATGAGCCTTAAGAGGTGTCTTAATTTTGTCAGCATTGAGATACACTGAGAGAAGACTGTAATGATACTCTGTGCACCCATAGGAGGCTGTGAATAACAGGCAGGTTCCACCTTCTGGTGGAGTGGGACTTCTAGTCAGCTAAAATTGAGACAAATCAGTGAGAAGGAACAATGCATTGCAAATATTGCCTGCCCATCGTGGAATCAGAGATGATGTAAGGCAACCCTTGCTAAAAGGAAGTTTAAGTTCTCCCTTATCATTTCTCAAAACCTTAATCAACTTGCAAAATCCTGACAGGCATCTGACCACAGAAACACAAGCCCAGTCTTGCTTCATTTTTCAGTTCCGCCCAATTTGGAATAACTCAGCTATCAGCAATATTTATTTAGGGGATACTGGAGTGCATGCGGCTCTTGTACTTTTCAGTCTGGTTTTCAATGCACTGCCAAGTGCTTAGCCCAGAAGAGCTGGGACCAAGCAGAGTTTTACCATTCAAACCTGTGATAAACCACATCTTCCACTGGTTTTGCTATGAAGAACAATATTTAATGTTTCTCAGAATATCTTGGACATGATGAAAACACACCCAGAAAGGGTACATTCAGACTACGAAACACAGAATAAAAAGGAATCAGATGGCTCAGAGTAATAGGACTGAAAGCATTTTATCTTCAAGTATCTGTTTCCAGACCAGAAGTGGAAACAGCCGGTGGAAAGCATCCATCTGCTAAAAGGTGTTTGACGTACCTTGTAAAAGGAATGGTTGAGTTTATCACAGTGCTTTTCTCTAGGCCACAGAGAAATGAGGAATCTTCTCTGAGAGCACAGAAGACACCTCAACACATGGTGTTAATTGCTTCCCCCACATTGGTGTGACTATCATCACCATCCCCATTAAAACGGTTAGCTCTTAGTCCTTTTCACCTGTGAATCACAATGGTTTAACCTGGAAGGGGGAACCCTTACATCCAAGTCAGGTAGAGAAGTGGTGTTGTAACAACTTGCTGACACTGCCAGGGATCTTAATTTATAAATGGGCTTTGGTGGCAAAGCAATCTGCCGTATTAGTGGATTTTAAAGCCTATTCTTGGAGGAGAGTAGAAGAATGCTACTCCAACCCTCTATGGCCTAGGACAAGACTTAGCATCTCCAAGGATGTCCGTCCAGCAGCTCCTCTCTAATGTGCACTGACATAGGTTTATGTGCTGGGTGAGATCCAGGTGCTACTGAAGTCAACATGAGGTCATTGTGGTCAAGATTTTGCTTGCTGAGATTTGTGGTTATTCGTATCAGGAGTATAAAATCTGGGAGGCAAATCAAGCCTGGGGCCAGCCAGAGGAACTGCAGATGGAGACAAATGTTCTGACTTCTCTTAGGGCTGAAGTTAGCTTCAGTGTTTGAAGTTAGTTGATGTTGAAATGCTGTTTAGAATAGAAGTGGCTACTCTTTGAAACAGAGAAGCTCTGCCGTTGTGAATGTCTTGCTGCTGAGATTTAAAGATAATATGTTGTGCATGGCAGCATACATTGCGTGAAGGTTGAACTCTTGAACTCCTGCTTTGTTTTTGAAGAAATAAGTTAATTCTGAAGGGTTGCATGCTTGGAACGCAGACTGCAGATTTCCCACACCTGTCGTGTCTGCTGCCACCAGCAGATTTATAGCTTGTGAGACTACAAGTTTCTCTTTGGCCCTGATCCAGAAAAGTGCATAAGCACTGGCTGGTTTGTGGTGATGGGAGAATTGCTTTTCCCCATGGGAACCTTCCTATGAGTCACCACCGATCACCTCAGGTGCAGGGATAGCAAATGCCAAATTGTCACAATTTCAGCTGCGGGTTGGCACCTGCCCATGGTGGCCAGAGTGGGGTTACCTCCAAACCCCACTGCACCCAGGTGGTAGATCACAGGGAGCTGGTTCAGGACTCATGAATGCAGCTGCAACTCTGCTTTTTGGGGCTCATAGAAGCTCAAAAACCAGAACTGATCTTACAAACTCTAGCAGTCAGTTTTCTACCTCTGTGAACTGATGCATCTACAATGACAGCAGCTCCCACTGCTGTTTTTTGAGGAAATAATCCCATGCCTCAGAATAATGACTGTGCTCATAGTACTGCTTTTTTCTTTCCCCAAAAGGAGCTTATGTGCCATTCCAAACACATGTTCTACATCCTTTGGTAGGTCATCATCATGCATGAGTCTCTTATCACTGATTCTTGCCACCTTGGAGTACCACCTAACTCAGACATCACAGTGACTGCCCAGTGTTTGGTAAGCCTGGAGAGCACATAGTCCGAGTCACCCTTATCTGTGTTGAACTGAGATGCCACAATAGCCCTGACAGATCTGTTTGGCACCTAGAGCAAGCAATTTGACTAAGCCCATTTCCATTTCTAATGTGTGTTTCATTTCAAAAACAAGCCCATAAGAAACCCTGAGCTCCTGAACCCATTTAGATCAACTAAGAAAAGTATTTCTCAGTGTTTTGCAAGCAGAGTTGTACGAAGAGCACATCTCTTAGTTGATATAGATTTAGGCAGAGCGAGGTTTAAAGTAAAAAGTTATTCTCCTTAAGAAGTTCCTAGTCCTCTACATTAAAGGAGAGTGGTTTTCATGTTATTTAAAAGAATCCCCAAATGCTTCAGCTGGCAATACTGAAAAAGGTTTACATTTAGGCTGGGACATACCACTGAATTTAGGACAATTGAGTATCCCTATTTAGCTGATTCTCAGGTTGAACAGGACACTTAAGATTGGATCTGTGCGTTTTGATATTAGCTGCAAAAATTTTTACTTCAAAGGCACAGAATCACGTTTATAAAGCTCCTAAACTAGTATCCTGCAGACAGATGTAAAGGTTATTGCCTCAAGTTAATCTTGCTTCTAGTTGGGAGCTGAGTCACACTTGGTTTGCAGAGCATGGACAGGACAAATTTAAATTCCTTAGATGAACACAAATCCTATAGGTGTGACTCTCTTTAGGCCTACATAGAGGAAGGAACCAGGTTGCCCTGGCTAATTTGGGGGGGAGCACAGCATATTGTTAAAATAGCTGAGATTTTTTCCCTAAATTAATCCTACCAGATTTAGAGTCCAGTCTGACGTTGACCAAAATCTTTGGGAAACTCACACCAATTTTAGTTTTAAATGTTCAGAATCCAGCTCTTCAACCTTAAACAGTATCTATGTCAAAGCAGCTGGAAATAACATATACTGATCATTTGTCCCTCAGTTTGGGGAGGGGAAAGAAGAAACCCTAAGTCAAACAAAATCCTGGACCATTGCAGCTAGTTCCTCAGACAGGCTCTCATTGCTAGATTTCTTCTATTTAAGCAATATGAGACATTTCAAATGAACTCCAAGTATCTCCCAGCAACATATGAAAGAATAACAAGGGAGTAAAGCAAACGGCCAGTTTCCTGTTAAGCAGAATTTCACAATAATTTCAACGTTTGGGCAGATGGCAATCTGACATAGTTTCAGGCTTACTTTTCTTTCTGTGTAACCAAGTGACACTTAACCTATCAGAATTTTTTAAGCGGTTACAAAACCCAGGCTGCATTCTTGCAACCTTATGGAGAAGATCCTAAACACTGTATTTCAAATGGTACCATTTAATCTGAGAATCTCAGACACTGCATTTCCTCTTTCATTCAAGAGAACGAATTGCCACACTGAGAAGAGTTGATAACTTTAACCTGCATTTTTGTTTTGTTACTGATCATTGTTATTACACATGCTGGAAAATGTATGGATTTCCTGAGACAACTGCATATGTAATCGTGCTCAAAATTATTGCAGCCAGTTTGCAAAAACTTGTTTTTCACAAAATGCTTATGAAGTGGCTAGATAGGCCTTTTACCTGCATGTGTAGATAGAAATACTGAGATGTGGTGACTAATACATTTGGCCAGTACTCATTAAACAAGCAGTACCAGAACTAAGAGCAGAACTCCGGAGTTCTGTTTTCTGGGTCCATTCTCCATTCAGTCGACCTTATTTCTGGATATCCAACGAGCTTTCAGGATCCCATGCAGATGGCTTTTCCAGTTCAGTTTTCATAGTTATTCAGTATTTTAAGTATTATAATTTCCACCATAGCACAGGAATAAAGTAGTCTAGAGGACACAGAGAAAGTGTGTTTGGAGCCTTTCCCCTGTATATTAATAAATCTGTATCAAAAGCACCCTTCCATATATAACAACCCTGGAGTTGGACACTTTTGAATATAAAATAAATGCAGCACAAGTGACCGGATTAAACAAACACTTTCTAAATACAGTAAAAAAATAAACACACTGAGATATTTCACTAGAAAGAGCGGGAAAGGCAGTAAGTACAAAACCACTTGTGATCCTGCTGGAAACGTTTTAAAAATTAAGGGGTTTGGTGTTTTAAAAGGAGCCAAGAGGAAAGTGACCCCATGGCCACTAGTTCAAATGCAACCCGAGTCATTTTTTTTTTCCTTTTTCTTGGTTTGACATCCTTTTGGGAGTCTAAATTCATTTGTCTTGAGACAAGTCTTGCCAGAAGACTTAGTGAATATATGGACCACTGAATGAAATACCTTTTTGTTCCTGGAAGTGATTACCTGAAATACGTTTAGCACTTTGAGGTTGTGAGGCACTACCTTTATGGTATTTTCTAGGTACTGAGCCGAAATGTTAACTCCATCCAACAACATCACTAAGAATGTCTTTTTTTCTGATTCCTAAAAGACTTTTTATCACAGTGCAAGCAAGCTTTGCTCCTCGCTGACAGAAAAGACGGAGCTGACTGGTGTTAGCCCTTTCTCTTATGGGAGCCACTACAGATTCAGGCATTTTCCCAGACTCTCAAAGATAGTTAGTCACCACTAATCTTGCCCTATTTGACAGTTTTCTGGGCTCAGAAAGTCCCTGTTTGGAAGTTACTCCCTGTTTTCCCAGAAAAGTTTTGGAAATTTCTCAACTTCCTTCTATGAGCAGCCAGCCTCAAAAAATCTTCACTTGAGGGCAGTGACTGTTGCTTGTGCTCTGATTGTGCTGTGATCTATTTTTTTTTTCCTGTTTCTTTCAAAATGTCAAAAAAACTCAGTAAGAGCTGAGTATGCATGTGCTGTGGAGGACACGTCTCTGGGCAGACCCGGTAAACTCTGTAAACAGCAAAAGCTTGTTTTCTAGGCTGTCAGTCACAGAACAGAGTGGCCAGATCGGCAGATAACACAGAACAGAGCAGCTTCTTGTTCAGACTTGTGGAGGTATTTACCTGCCATGGAAGAAAAAATCTGAATAGGTTTTTAGCATTTGCACTTGCAAAGGAAGATCTATCTGACGCTCTGAGACGTATCTGACCATGAGATTTAGGCAGAAGTGGGTGTTCAAAAACTGTTTGTCAAGAGTCATTTGACTTGGCATATGAGGTGCTACTGAGTGGTTTTCTATGTGCTTAGCATGGAAGTAGTTGCCTTAGTCATTTCTTGTAAGTGCTGTTCTACACATCTTCACTCTGCAAAATTTGAACTTAATTGAGACTTGGGCATCTGTGTCATAGATTTGTCTTGACTAGAAGTTGTGGTCCTGTTTTAAAACTACTTAATTGATTGTCAGGGAACTACCATGATAATAAATGCCTGAAAACATACCCAAAATGCCTGCTCCAGGATTTATGTTAGTGGTTTACCCTATGGCCCAACCTAGCAATTAACCTGCAAACTCCAATTAAGACAAACCCACCTAGGTCTCAGGCAGAGCCTGCTGCTGGCATGTGCAAATGGAGAAATGCTGTGGGAAGATTTTTGCAACTGAAGCAGTATCACATCTCTACAAACCACCATACAGACTGTCCCAGAAACAAGAACAAAACTCAGGGTGACCTGGCACATCCAAGAACTCCTTGGGCCTTTAGCAAATGTTAGGATGGCTGTTCTACAGCTGGGGATGCCAAGACTACCTGTCTGCCTGGTTAATGGCCCTGCTGCCCTACAGGAGAAGCCAGGGGGGCTGGGAAGTCTGGAGCTCTGGAAGAGTTACCTCTCTCCACAGCTCCAGGACAGCCGCACTTTTTGGCAGGATAAAAGGCAGGGTACAAGAAGGCAGAAAAAAACTGCTATTAAGAAGTAAACCAATAAACATTAATTCTTTGGCACTCCTCAGTGTCCTGTCTGGCCCTCTTGGCTGTGTATTTCTAGAATTTTAAAGGTAACAGCAACACTGCCTTCCTTCCCAAGCCTTTGAGGGATTTTTTTTTTTTTTTATGTGCACACAATTCCTTCTGTGTTTAACAGTGGGAATGGAGGCATTTTGGGTTTGTAGAAGAAAATCCCATGGTTTCATTTCATCTGTGAGAATCTGCCTCCTGTTTCATGAGCTCTCCCTGCTCACTGGTGTGCACTGATGCTGCTCCAGCTGGCCAGTGTGGCCACTAGAGGTTGCAGGGAGGAGAATGTTGGTGAAGTGGTTGGGCCTGGTCCCATGGAGGGTTTTGTGCAGCGTGGCAAAAATTCAAGCTGGAGTCTTATCAATGAAGATGTGCAAAGGCCAGGTCACTGGGGCAAGAGGCTAAGAGCAACCTGTGATGCTAAGAAAGTAAATCATTACTTTTTGCAGCAGGTTGTAAGGCATTAAATAAAGGTGATTTATTGCAGCTGAAAGCATCACTTTTTCTCTGTATGAACATGTCCATGGGACTCTCTTCAATGAAATGTGACATGGTGGCTTTTGTGTCCAGTCACTGGTAGGAAGTGCTTCAACATAACCATCTGGGAGAGCTTCTCACCAATTTTGATAATAGAGGGAAAAGTTAACTGGGCTGCCATAAAACAAATAAAGAGAGAAGAAAAAGGAAACCCCAGTGCCTTTTGTTAAGGAGGAACAGATGTAGAGCCGTAGCAGCCTGCCAGCTAGGTCAGGTCATATCAAATATTGTGGTTATTTTCTTGTAGCCTGATCTTCCTTTTGAACTCTCTTTCAGCAATGAAGTTGTAAGGAATGAATTAAAGAAGCTGCCAGCCCTTCCAACACCAGCACTGAAGGAGCATCCTTCCCTCGCTTACTGGTAACGTATCATTCTGCTGAGCAGCTTTGCAATGTCTTATGCAGGACCTGGCTCTAGCAATAAGTGATCTGAGAGTGGAACTGGGATGCAGGGATTCCTGCCTTCTAGCTCTGGGTCTGCCACTGACCCATTGCATGATTCAACACAAGTAGAGCTACCACTGTGGGCCTCAGTTTCCCCATCTGCCAAAATAGCTGCAGTAATGTCTGGCCAGAAAATTCATTGTAAACATGCAAGTGTCCTGATGAAATCAAGAGGCCTAATGTGCCATTTCCTTTCCCAGCACTTTGCATCTGTGCAGTTTTCCCAGTTTGAAATGTCAATGTTTTGCACTGTTCTGTGTTACTTTTGAGTGATTGAGCTTCATCCTGCAAGTCCTCTCTGTATGGCATAGCTGAACTGAAAGGGATGTAGTTCTCCTTTTATACAAACTAGGTAATGTTCAGAGGTGGAGGATTGGGAGATCTGTCTTTATTGCATTGAAAATTAAATCCAGGGTAGGAGCAGGGTCACAATTAAATTAATGTGTATGCCCCACACATAGATTCTTTGTGCCACCCTGCCTATCCCTTTTATCTGTGCAAATAGGAAAGAATTTGGGGAAAGACTGTTCATTAATGGGGAGATGCTTTCACTTGATTTTCTGCTTGTTTCTCTTTCATGTTTGCCTTTAAAGCATTAGGCTATAAGCCTGGGGGTGGGAGTGAACTTCTTTATCTGCTTTTTTAATTTCTGCATCTTGGTAATCTGAGGATGGCAGGGGGGAACAAATCGGTTTGTAGTTTATGATCTCAATTCTTCCCTTTGCCAGGAAGGCCATCCACTGTTTCTAGCATGGCTGCAACACTAGAATTAGCTGCACCTCATGTCAAGCCGTAGGCAAGCTAGTCTGTAAGGTCTCCTAATCATTTTCTGAGCACATGAGGAGAGACTCAGAGTCCCCAGCTGAGGTTAGGAACACTAACACAAAAGCTGTGGATCTTCAGAGTCTCCTGGTGTTTCTGTCTAAGAACCAAACCAAAACTTTATGAAAAATTGATAAATGTAGGCTGCCATTTCACTGGAAGAAGAATGGTCTCCCTCTTTGGAGTAGCTCTTTCCTTTTCCTTTTTCCACAAACTAATCCCCACATTGAAAAGCAGTGCATTTCTAGCCAGGTCGGTGGCCTGGTCTGACTGACAGACTGGTAGCTCAAGCTAAAAGCCACCACAAGAGCAGTGGTGGGAACAAGTAGCCACGGACAGGGAAGGCAAATTTGACCCTTCAGCAGCAACATGGACTGAGGTCTTATTAAAGTGCCCACATAGCCTTTGCTTCAGTTGCCTGTGATGGTATCCATACACAGGAAAGCAGTGACAACCCAGGCTGCCTGTCAGGCCCCATCTGCCCATCAGGATCTGTCTGCCCCCACTGTTGGGAAGTGTTAGTCAACATGCCTATGTTAAGGACTTCTGCTGGGAAATGTCAGCGAGTTCTGGGACTGCCTCTGTCCGTAAGATGCTATCCTTGGGTTTGGGCCATGTTCAGTTACCTGAAGCAAGAAGAGCCGTGTAAAAACCTCAAGCTCAGAATGCAAGTATTTACTGTTATACACAAGGTACAGCACTTCTTGCAACTATACTCAATTTTGTGCGAGATCATATGTAACTGAGAACAGGTCGGAGGTTGGGAAGCTGGTTGTTTCCAATGGGGTAATAAAACCAGTGACTACAGTCCTGTGACTCCCTTGTGATTTCACTTCAGTAACCAGGTCTCAGAGACCTCTTATACATCAGTAGTGCATTATTTTTTAATGGTGGCTTTTTCATAAACACCCTCTGAAATGCTGAATGCTCACAAGAAGAGGCTGCTGGTCAGTCAGACAAAAAGCCTGTGAAGTACAGATCAAACTTCTGTGATCTAAGAGAGCAGATTTTTAAAACTGTTTTCTTACACTTCTGCATTTCATGCAGATTACATACTGGATACAAATTTCACCCTGTTCTTTTCTGTATGCAATCAGTTTGAGACTCCCACATAGTCCAGGAACCAGGGCCTTGAGTTGTGGCTTCTCTTGCCCATGCATGGAAACAACTGACAGTATTTATTATTATTTTACACACAAAACTAATCTTAATGAGACAGGAGAGAACCTGTGTTAGTTCAGAGCACTCCTTTCCAGCCGTTGTCATTGCATTTTATCTCAATACAGATCATCCCCAGCAAGCCAGCCCAGTACTAGGTTACCAGTAAGAATGCAAGGAGGAGATACAATGGCACAAAAGTGGGTGCTAGTATGGGATTTTCAACAGACCTGGGGGAAGATAGACTCCTTCCAGGTTCCAACAGATTTTGAATGCAAGCTTGTTTTTAGCAACCTAAAGCATCAGCATTGCGATAAAATTCACCTCTGAAAATATCAGCTGAAAATCACTACTTAGTTTCTCTAATACAACACAGACCTGAGGCTCTGATCCTGCTCTTGGTCCATTTGGCCCTAGACATGCTCTGCTGGCTTCAGTGGGATAGCATATGACTGAAAATAAAGATGTTAGAAAGTTCAAGAATATAATCAAGATGGACAAAGGTTAGAAACAGACAACAGTAAGGTGCAGCAATGAGTGGACAGCTATTTAAAACAGCTCAGTGTGCTGGGAAGAGAAGGGGGAAACACTTACCTTTGAAAATCTGGATCTGATGATGAGAAACTCTGGCCCTGCATTTGCTTGCAAGTTGTCTGCTGTCCAGTTCTGTAAGCTGCTGGGACAGGACAGATTTCTTAGTAGGTCTTAAGATCTTTATCAGAGTTGTCTGCTGCAAGATATCACCCGTGTACTAATTTTTTCAGCTTTGGGGGGAATGTTTTATGAGCTGGCAAACAGACGGTAGTGTTTCAGCAGCCTCCATGTCTCCACATTAGTTAAGCATCCTCTGTCAGCCCTGCGTTATGAATGAGTGTCTGTGTCACTGACACAGCAACAAGCCAGAGTGGGGGAAAGGAGACGTCAGCTGGTGGTCCAGGCAGTGTCCCAGCACTCTCCCAGCTGTCAATAGCAGCATGGCAGCCGCTCAGAGATGAACAGCTGAAATGATAGGGGAGAATGTTTATAAGCTCTGCTAATGCTCCTTCTGACCCGTGAATGATTTTGCTTGTTTTCCCTGGCACATGCTGGGCTTACCCCTCTGTCCCAGAGCTGGAGGCAGAAAGTGACCTCTGTGCTGGATGATCCTTCTTGTGAAAAGGAAGTTCAAAGAACCGTTAAAGGAGAGACTGTCAAGAAGCTGGGGTGGGATTCATCTGACCATGAACATTTCTTCAGTGTAGACCTCTTCATCTGATCTAGGTGCCCTCAGCTCCCTTTGCTGTCAGGATGAATTGTGCTCTGGAGTATCTGTTTCCTTCCCGAAAGTGTGACTAGCTCCATGCTGTAGGAAGGTGAAAGGCAGCAAATCCCACTCCTAAATATTCATGGCTCAATTGATAATTCAGGCTTTAGGATTTTTGTCCAAAAGTAGAAACAAGGATGATATTTATCTGGCACTTAACTTCTGTAGACCTCAAAACATTATACAATGGAAAGGAAGATCATCACTATCCTAATGATGCAATGGAGGTATAGAGAGTGTTGCCTGCATTTGTTTAGGAGAACTGGGTAGAGCCTGGACTATCCCACATCTTAGAGTATGTGTTGAGAACATCATAACTTTATTCATCCCACTGTTCAGGAAGGCTCCCTGATATCTAATCTGTCCTTTTGAAGGAAATGGGCCATCGATTGACTTCCCTACCCAAGGGGTATGGTCTGGGAATATCATCCATTATTTTTTAATAATCATTTGTAAGAAAGCAGAGCATATCCGGAATCACATTAGGTAATCATCTTGTGGGTACATCTGTCCTTTCCTTGAATGGCATCACTATGAGGGCTTGATCTGTACAATAAACTGCACAGAGTGGAAACGAAAGCTAAGAGCATTTTCTACTGGAGACAATCCATTGTTTTCTGAAAAGTCACTCCTGGTTTGTTCCTGTCTGAGACAGAGAGGAATTGCATCCACATGTAATCATGGTTTTAAGAGGTAATTTCAAAGGGCTGTAAGCCCTCTCTGTCTATCTTTTTTATTAAGAATGATGGTTTTTGGAGATCTTCCAGTACTGAACACTCATGTAATTCAGTTATTGCTCCAAAAGTAATCCTGTTTATGATAATCATGGCAGGAGACCCAGGCTCTGCCTTCATGTGCACGCCCATAACATCTGTGGTACTTGCTTGGATCAGTGGGCCGAATATGGTTTCATAGCTGTTGAATTTATAGCTTACAGATCATTTTCTAAGCATTAAAATTATTCTGAGGGATTTGATGGGAGAGCTGGACCATTCCTTTACCCATTTAGTTTGTCACTGACTCAATCAGCACCCTGTAACCGCTGTGGCGTGCTGGTGGGACGTTGCTTCACCTTGCCCAAGTAAAAGCCCTTTTATTTTCACAAGTGACTTTCGAGGGAAGTCACTTGCAAGTGAGTTAGGAAAGCAGTTACTCTCAGACAAATTACAGGCTTGTGGGGGAACAGCTGGCCCTGCTGACAATCCAACAGACTGTCTACTTTGAATTGCTCTGTGCTGTCTACACTGGTGTTTCTGGTCGTCTCCCTTCCTCCCTGCATTACCAGGGATGGATGCACAGTCCTCAGCTACCCTGCGCCAGGCCCCACACCCCATCTGTGCACAGCACATCTTGTCTGTCATGTCACAGTGCAGTTTGTCCTCCTTGTAATGTCACAGAACAGAATATCCTGTGTGTGATGGCACAGCAGGCTCTGTGTGGCCTCTACCTGTGACATCACTGAGATCATTATGAAGGCTGTGCCCAGCAGGGGCAGGGGAATTTCTTTCTAAAAGAGATTCTGGCTCCACGCAGATCTCTCTGGCACAAGGATGCAAGTGGGGAAGGCAGCAATAAGACGCAGTTGTGTTAGCAGGACTAGTGAAACACTTTGCAGTTTTCCACAAAATTCCCCATGGGCATTTCTAAGCAGTTGTGGTGAGGTCATCTACCAGACCATCCCACACTGCTGTGCTCCTTCACACTGTCTAGCAATAAAAATAGCTCCAGTTCTGCCTGGGGAAGGATTACCGCATGGTGGACAGCCATGTGGCTGCCTTTAAAGGCTGCATTAGGGGCCCCAGATGAACCTAGGAAATGCAGGGAGGAATGCCAGTTCACATTGGCCTGCACCACATGCAGCATGATGGCATTAGATAGACACTTGGTACTTCTGGAAGCTTATGCAGTGCCAGGTGGGGAGGGCACAAAGGTGGAATAAAGGTAGTTTATGTTTCCTTTCTCTTGGACTGGCAAGGTCTGTACAGTATCTCAAGAGGACTCAACAGATTCCTTATCCTTGGTGTTACAACATAAAGAGCAAGAGACTGGGTTTGAACCTGAGGACTTGAGTATTCCGTCATACCATGTAACAAACAGAGCTGGTCCTGTGGGCATTACATTGCTGGAAGTTAGAGAACAACCAAAGTCAGACCAGTCTGATAGTACCAGGCTTGGAGGCTGTGGTGACTTGCATGGCTGTAGATTGAGAGGAATGCCATTGAATTCAAAGGAGAGCTGTGTGAACCTTCGAAAGGAGATCTTGGCTTATACTTTGCCATGCTGTGACCTTGCTAGCACAGCTGATCGTATGCATCAAATAGCTCTGGTTCTGTGCTCTTCTGCTACCCATTCACTGGAGAAGAAGGGATGAGATTCTTTTAAAAGAGAACTTACAGATGTCCCTCAGTCTGTCATTTGGGTCATGCTGATCTGCTCTTGGATGCTTCATCTCTAGAGTGCATAGGTGAATGTCTCAACACGCGTTTATCAAACATGGCCAGAACTGTTCTCTGACACAGAGGCCCACTGGTGTGGAACACTGTCCATCTATACCATGAAACTGTCTTAGTCTCCAAAGCAGTGTTGGGAATGGGCCCTGGCCCATGCTAACTTCCAGTGCATAGCCAGGAGTTGCCTGGGGGAAGGCAAGTTAGTATAACCCAAAAGTATGCAAAGGCACATCACTACTTTAACAGTAAAGGGACCCAAGTTTGAGTGTCGTGGAAACTTTCCCTGCCACTGTTTAACCTGCTGTTATAGACATTGCCTCTGTGTACATTAGGAATTTAACTCGCTGCTGAGAGAGATTTCTCCAGAGTACTTCCACTAGTGCTCCTGTACATGGTTTTGTGCCATTGTGGTGAGGAGTAATTTGTGAGGCTTAGGGCTATTACTGGCCACCAGTTTCTGAAAGCTTTGCTACCTTTCAGAGAACTTGGTGGGCTTGGGAAAAGTTGCACCAACTAGGGAAAAGCAGAGCTTGAGCAGCTCCAACACACGTCTGTTTGCCACACAACGTAATATCATGGGCATTGTTTGTAGATAAGTAATGCAGAGAGGGAAAAGTCTGTATGTGTAGATACTGTGTGAGTAAAAAAGGTTCTTCCAGAAAGCCAACTCCTAGAAAACCATTTTTATTCTCAGTCTGTGAGTTCCCCTTGTTTACTCTGGGCTGCATCAAATCCCCTCATCTAACACTTTTGCTTGGCATCTTTTGATTCCCTCAGTCAGTAGCTATGTTAACAGAAGTGTCTCTTCGCCTTTTGGCAAGATTCTTAGTCATGATACTGCCATTATATAAAATATCCAATTTCTTCCTTTCCAGTGAGGATCGAGTCATTGAACATTACAAGAAACTAAATGGTCAGACAAGAGGTCAAGCAATTGTGAAGTAAGTGAAATAAGAGTGACTTCTTGTGACCTTTGTTTTATCAGGAAATACTTATACCGGACTGTAAATACAACATGTAACTATGTCTCCCACCTCATCCAATGCTTGAAGTATTTATCTACTTGACTATTTATTTATTAAAGCATCTTTCTCAGATAATCCTCTTAGCTTCTCAGACATGTTATTCATATGTGTTGTTTTGCAGTTACATGAGCATTGTAGAATCCCTCCCAACGTATGGAGTGCATTATTACGCAGTAAAGGTACGTGCTACAAAAAAGAGTCATTTATTGAATTAAACTGTTGTTGGAGAGGGAGGGAGAGAGGTACAAATAACCATCCTGCTTTCAGAATACAATACACTGCTACTAAAGTCTGGTTGCACTTCCTGTGGTCGGATAAACTTATTTTGACTGTGCAGTGAATGTTTGGTAAATACAGCTCCAAAGAGGAAAATCCTGTTCTTGGAGATAAAACTCTTGCAGTCCTATTGTGCTGGAGATGTTCAGTCCACAAGCAGCAGCAAGCTCTGGTGATGCCAGTGAAGCAGCACCAAAGGGACAAGCCAGCCACATTGCTGACAGACTTGATGCTTCACTCCTTTTTGTAGTTCCAAGAAGTCAGCTTTTTCTCAGCGTGCAGATCCACGAACAACTAACTAGGGTCAGCCATGACCTGCAGACTGTATCTCCCTTCACTTCAGATATATGTAGATGGATACAGATATAGTACATCTTTTTAATGCCAAATCATTGGCCCATAGTCTAGAGAAAACACATCCTCCCCTCCCTCCCAACAGCTGTCCACTTCTAACTATGTGGATTTCATGCAGGTATTCATGAAATCCCTCATTTCTTTTGTCTAATGATTTATCACCAAATCTTCCAGTCTCATATTATTATTATTATTACTTTCCTGCCTGACCAGCTGTGTAGGGTTGTTATTTTTTTTAAGCAGAGAAATCAATAAACATATAAAGAAAGCTAGATCCATACTCCCCAGAGCATATTCCCCCATTTATCACCCCTGAAGTTTTGATGTGTTTCATCATTATCTCTCTGCACAGATCATATGGTTTTTCTTATGTCTGTAATGTCTTGCACACATAGAGTACCATAAAAACACAAGTATCTGACAGTGCCTGTCTCAGGGAGGTGTGTTTCTGGTCTATTCCTGCTATGTGTATGGCATGTTGGGAAAAGCATTAGCCTCATCTTTTGCCAGAGGGCAGGATCCCTCCAGCACCCTTTGCATCCAGACCTCTTGATCAAGATCAAGGTCTCTAGATCAAGAAAGATCTGGTGGATTGGGCTGGGTGTTCAAGCCTGCAAACACTTGAGAGCTGTTCCAGTGAACTCCCCATGATCAGTAAGTACCAGTGAGCAGCAATGAGGCAGCAAATATTGCACATAATAGATTTTGCTTCTGGCTGATGTGGGGGTTTTGGTTTTGCTGCGTTTTACCCTGCCATTCTCTATCACACTAACAGAACAGATGTAATTTCATTGAGGACTCCAGTTCAGTAAATTGCAAAGAGGCTGGTATCAGATATCAGCCATTACTCCATAAGGCCATTTTATTGCACGCTCAGACACAAAGCAGTTGGGTCTGAGCCTGTCAGACCTTATCACTTGGTAGCTCTCAGATCCCATTACTGCTGCATTTTCAAGATTAATGCTAAAATCCCTCCACATAATTCAAGTCAGCTGGGTGATTCACTTTCCTTCCTCTCCAATCTCTGAGTGTTCAGACTGAGTAATTTGCAGGGAAGAGAAAGAGGATGCACCACTGCACAAGGGACCCATGTCAAACCTCCCCACCTCCCCTGGCAGCATTTTGAGTAACTTGACCACAGATGATGCATTTTAAATGTTTTATATGTCATAGCTAAAAGTGAAACAGATCTTTCCTAAACACCATGTGGCTTTGTGACTTGAGGAAATTCAGCAGGGTTAAATTTAACAGTGCCCATGACAGTCAAAGATACTGCTTAGAAACAAATCTTCACCTTGAATAACAACCTAGTAAATCTCCAGCATTTCCCCATCCCATTCAATATAACTCCCTTTCTTTTTTCTTCCAGGACAAACAGGGAATTCCCTGGTGGTTAGGACTTAGCTACAAGGGGATTTTTCAATATGACTACCATGACAAAGTGAAACCAAGAAAGGTAAGTGTTTACTTTTCTATCAAGGTCTGGGCTTGCTGCACATGTTATAGCTTGATTTGAGGGTGTGATATATGCAAAATGCTGGCATCGATTCATGTGATTTTGAAGGATGTTGTTTCTCCTAAACTTGTCTGAATGTCTGCAAAGAATTAATGGACAAAAGTAGCTCTTAACTTATTAAATGTTGTGGTATGGATGGGAAATAAACGTCACTTGATCTTGCAACTTATGCTTCTTTTTTGCATGATTCATAAGACATAAATGGGAACTGAAGGACTGATTCTCTCAGGTGCTGGAGACCTTCCACCCCACTGGCTATGGCAGGATTGAGGGTGCCTAGCCAACCCTTGATAGTGTATTGTCAAGCCATAAATTATCCGAGAAAGAGAGGGAAGAAGAGACAGGAAATCTTTTTCTATTTATTAAAAAAAAGAAAAAATTGTATGGTTTTCCTAGGAGCAGCATTACATTTGATAAGCAACAGTTTTACTAACTGAAGAGTTAATGTCAAGCTAACAAGAAAATAAGATTTTCATCACATGCCTAAAAAAAGGCATTAAAAAGTTTGTGCCCAGCATCTGATTTGTTTAGCAACTTTACTTTGAAACAGTTCACAAATCAAGGCATGGCATGCATAGATCTGATCACAAAACTAGAGCTTGATCAGTGATGACTACCCATTCTGGTCTCTTTATTAGTATTTTTAGTGAGGCTTTCAGTGCATCTGAAAATTGGTATTTGTCTCAGTCCTTCCAAATTGCCTTTCAGTAATCCAGCTAAGGAATGTCCTATTCATTTGGGAGGAGGAAGGTTCTGATCCCCTGAGCTCATCCTACTAGGCATACCCATGTGTCCTGATTTTCCTACCTAGGATGCCATCTAATATAAGAAAGCTCATCTCTGAGCACATGCCCTGCAGGTGGGCTGCACAGTCTGTTAGCGACAGCATTTCTTGTACTGCAAACCCGTGGAAACATCAGAAAACAAGGTTTCAGGCTTGCTTGCAGGCCACAGAACTGGATTATTTGGAACAACTAGGCAGCTCCTCTATGGATACAAATGCTTCCATGCTAAATTAACATACTGCATTTCTCTTTGCATTTTCTCTTTCTCATTTTGTCTCTGTCCCCCTCCCTTTCTTTCACCTCCTCTGATCACATTCATTTTGGACACTGTCTGGTGCTCACAGGTAGCATCTTCTATTAAAATAAAATAGAATCAAGGTTTTGGTAGAAAACAGAACTGCCAAGGAGGCTGCAGGAGACAATAGATGCATTGATTAGCCTTTTACTCATTGAAGGCTATTAATGGGGCTTTTTATTCATTGAAGAAAAGAATGAGGGGAGTAAGAAAGTCTTCACAGAGCATCTGTGCTCTGAAAGACATAATCTATTTGGGATCAATCATTACCTGCAGGGCAAGCCATACTCCCAATAGTTTTAAACATGCCTAGGCTAGGTGTTTGCACCCACATACCTCCATTAGTGCCAACCCCCCAGGGAAGACATGTCCTTAAAACATGCCTTCAGAAGTCAGTCTTAGTGATAGAAACATTTCTTTGGAGGAAAACAGTGCCCTGCCATGACAAGGACTCAGCCATTCACAACCTATAGCAATTTTTATCAGCTCTGATGGGATGAGAGTGTTGGTGGAGAGCAGAAGAAGAAAGAATAAAAGAGGTCAGGTGCTCTGACTGCGTGAGAGGAGACAGCCATTTCCACTAGAAGAGTCAAGCCTCCTTTCTTAGCTTCTCTACTTTCTCTTCTTCTCAGCCGCTCAGGATGATCTGGTCTGTAGCATTTGTTTCAGAGCTTGATAACATCTTGACCAGCCTCTCTGTGTCCCCACTAACCTACCTCTAGCTCTCACATTGCCTCTCAGATCAGGGGCATATCCTACCCTTCTTCTGCAAGTGTAACCCTAAAAAAATAGGGTGCCAGTTTTCTCTTTATTGGGAATTACTATTTTTTTTCTCTCATTAAATTATGTACAAAATCCAGGAGACCTGAAACAATGGTGCCACCTTATGTGTAAACCACTGAGGACTTCTGTGGCTTAGCAGAAGTGGTCATAAATCTGGGAGGGAAGGTTGGGTGGGAAGGGAGAGCCAGAATTTCTGGGCTAGAATTTGTCCATTGCCATAATCCAGAGACCACAGCAGTGAAAAGACAGCCTAGATGAGCATTTCTCTGTTACACGATGCTTGAAAACCCCATCTGTTGCCAGGGCTACTCCAAAATGCACAACCTAAATCAGGGACAGGACTTGAATAGTGTGGCTGAGGCTTCATTATTTCACCATCGTGTGCTTTTACCCTCTGTAGTGCAAGTAAAAAGACTTCTTACCCTACACAGGTGGTAAAACCCCTCTGGCGAGAGCAGCCCAACTCCCTCAGCGAGGTGCAATGTTTAATCCTCTGCTAATTAGATTGTAAAATTGCACTTGATAACCCTGGTATCTGGGAGCTTACCATAGTATCTGAGTCATTTCACTATACCAGCATGGACTGGTTCAAGTCTTTGCTCTGCAAAGAGGAGGGGTAAACCTTACTGAACTTTCTGCAAAGTAAAATTAGGGGGGAGGGGGAAAGAGATTATATCTTTTCTAATCTTTATTATTTTGTTCTTGCACATTGCCAATGCCAGAAACAAATTGAAAAATTACAATGGAAAAATAAATCTCCCTGGAGGAAACACAAGCAGAAAATTGTAGCAAGAAACCAGCTGAAACCAAGACATTTATATTAAATGCATATAAAATCCTTGCTTGTCTTATAAGAGAGATTGTAATGTTTTCCTATTATGTCATCCTAGATAGATTTCCATGTTTATTGTGTTTGCAAGTAAAGTTGTAGCCCACACTAAGCAGCTGAGCCTATCTCAGGCGATCCCATTAGCAGTCAGTCAAAACCACGTTTTTATTAAATTGCTGGAGTAAATCAGCCATGTGTCTCTAGTAAACTAACTAGGTTTGTCAGCAAGTTGGATGAGTCCAGAGAGGAGAATTGAGGCTGATGCAGGGCCAGAACTTGATCTTGCTTGCGCTATTCTCACTCAGGCATAAGTCCTCCAGCATTAGTGGGGATGCAGCTGAGATGGGTATCTGGCACCTAGTCCGAGGTGGTTCAGACGGGAATGCAGGGCTATTAAACTGGAACGCAGCTTGCACTTGGCTGCAGAGCCTAATGTGACTCTGTGCTTCTATTTTTATGTTTTCTCCTGCCTATGCTTGAATTCTGTGGAAGCCCTGAAGCTACCCAAAGCCATCACTTTGAGACTTATCATTCTCCCTTCTCTTTTTCTTCTGTATGTTCAGGGGCTAGCTCACAGACACAGCAAGCCCTTCCAAAGGCTTCCTCTTGAATGCTGCCTGTTCAAACCCAGATTTGGTCCATATCAGTTATGACCTGATAGCTGTTCATTCTTAGGTGTTAAAAAAATGCAAAAGTTTTGGTATACTTCACAAAATCCATCACTGCAGCTGAACAAGAAGAAGGGAGTATCAAGCGTGGAAAGATGGCTGCTGTCCTGCTAACCATATGCTGAGGCATTCTGGAAGTTTAGTAGTGGCTTGCAGAACCAGTGTCATTTGTGTAGCAGCAGCACACAGCATCCAGGATGGGCAGAATCCATCCCCCTCTCTGTTAGACTTAGCTTCTACAAACTCTTCTCTGTGAAGAGAAAAGGCCCTTCAAGGCTCGGTGTGCTTTGAAAAAGCACAACAAAAAGGAGTCATTGTCCTGCTGGGCTCTACCTATCTTGGGTCAGCACCATACAATATTCATGATAAACCAAAGCAAATTCTTTGGAACCAGGTCTTCAGATAGGATGTGCCAGCACCACTCTCCACAAGGTGCTGAGGCTGTAGTGACCAAACCCATCATTTTCAGAGAAGGGTCATTAGGGGTTTTTTTGCTTGCATTGCAGAGCAATTGGAAAGAAAGAGCAAGGCACTGCAGCCCCGCTATATGACTATGTTGTCTGTGAGTGGTGTTTGCTGATTTTAACCAGCAGGTAAATGTAACTCCACTCCATCCCAAGAGACCTGTACATGAAGCAGAAGCAACGTAGCCTGGAGCTGTGAGACCAGCATGCCCAAGCAGTTGTAGTAGCACTAGGCATGTCTCTGTTGTTCTAGTGAGATATTCCCACTGATTTAAGAGCCCAAAGGCATCTTCTAGTGCACACAGTTTAACAGTTAGTAAACAATTAACTCCAAGCTGAAGAGTGAATGATTAACAAAGTCAGCCAAAGGACTTTTGTATGGCCAATAAACAGACAAAGAAATTGTTTAACTTATAACCAAAAATAAAATTACCTTAAAGGAGAATTGGTTGGTTGTTTTCCAAGAAATACCTCTATGCAGTGTTATCCCATTTTCTTCCACAGAAGGCTAGTGGCAACGAAACTTAAGGTGAGCCTTTTTTCTCAAACTCATAAACATTATCAGTGTTCACATTCTGTGGTTGACTGAAGAGAACCCAGGGGGAATAAAGACTTTTGGAAATAAGATAAAATGTGAGGCATCCCAAAATTCTGCTGGGAATGTAGCTTGATAAAGATTTTCCCTGTGAGAGCCAAACATCAGTTTCTGCCATTTCTTCCCAGCAGTATTCTTTCTCTGAGATGAAATGAAGCATGCTATGAAAATACTCTGTCCCTTGCCATAAGGTCTCCACAACGCTCTATGGATTCTCATTAAAGAAGAATTTGATGTGTAGTATTGTTGTGAATTCAAAGCAACAGTGGGATTGACTTCCCATTTAAACATGCAAAAACCAGAGCTAAGTTGGACCTATCCTACCAAGCAGTACAAAGCACAAGTAAAATCAGTAGCTTTAAGTGTCTGATCAGAGAGAAATCACCTGCTTGTCAAAAGCATGAGCAAAGTAATCCACACATTAATTGTGTCCAAAAAGTGAAAGATTGCTGTGTGATGTCACTTGGCCTTTTCCAAACAACAAGAGATAGAGTGAACTTTCCCAATTCCAGAGGCAAAAT